ACTGGAATCCTCATATATTGCTGTGAGAATGCAAAATAATAAAGATACTTGAAAAAAAAATTTGACAGTTTCTTATAAAGTTAAATGTCATATCCATATATTCCAGCATCCCACTCATAAATATTTATCAAAGACAAATGAAAACTTATATTCACACAAAACCCTACATGTTTATGGTAGTTTTATTGATAAAATAAAACTTTGTTATATCCATATAATAAAATACTACTCAGGAATAGAAAGTAATTAACAATTAATACATGCAGTAACATGGATGAATGTGAAATAAATTATATTAAATGAATAAAGCCAACTATAAAAAAAAACCACCCTACATAATGATATTATGGAAAAAGCAAAACTACAGAGACAGAACAGACAAATGGTTGCCAGCAAGGATATTAACTCTCTGGGGTGACAGAAATGTTCTATGTACTGATTATGGTACTAGTGGTTGCATGACAACATATATCTGTGAAAACCTATAAAAATGTACTGAAGAAAGTTAATTTTACTATGGATAAATTAAATCACAAGAAACTTGACACAAATGAACAAACTAGATGGGATGGATAGGTCTAAAGTTTGGTTTAGGGTACTTACTTCATTATCATAATCAAGTAAGTTGTTTATGTCTTGACTTTCTAAACTATAGGTAATTACAATATTTTACTTCCTTCCTTTAATGAAAAAAATCCCTTTATTCATGGTTGGAAAAAAGTACAAATATGATTTTGGGTTTTTTTTTGGTGGTGTTAGGATGCCATTTTGATTTTAAAACCTATTTGGTTCAATGCCAGGCAATGAAATATTTATAAACCTCAATTAGAAATATCATGTTTATATGAAAATGTCTTCCAATTTTCTTTTAACATTTAACAAAACTTTCAGACAAATTACATACTTTAGCAAATATTTATGTAATATTGCAGATGCAAAGCCATTTAGAAAGATTGTACTAGATTAAAAGTATGTCCAACTGGGGCTGGGGTGTAGCTTTATGGCAGAGCGCTTGCCTAGCATGCGTGGGGGCACTGGGCTTGATCCTCAGCACCACATAAAAATAAACAAATAAAATAAAGGCATATTGACCATCTACAACTACAAAACAAACAAAACAAAACAAATATGTCCAACTGATTGCTTAATGTACTGGAAGGAAAATTTATACAATTCTTATCTTGGCCTACTTTAATGCTCTCATTTTGTATAGTGTCAGTAGTCCTTTATAATTGTATATAAGGAGCATAGGTATGAGGCAGATAAGTAGCTAAATGTGTGCTCATGTAAACATGGGAGATTCTGAAAGCCAAAGTGGGCAGTACTCAGCATAATTAATAGGAACAGAAAAAATATATAAATGTGTTGCCAAAAATCTTCATTGTATAAATTCTGCCACTACTTATACAACTTGTCTCTAATGGATTTAGTTCTTTCCTTCTCCTTTATTCCACCTTTCCACTGTACCAAAGTTCCCAAATTCTTTTTTTTAAAAAATAATAATTCAGGAAGCTCCTGAAAGATAGAAGAGCAGCTGCTCCAGTTATAATTTGGATACTCACATTGGCAAACCTCAGTGGTGAGAAGAAACTAGAAAATTTAGATTTTTTGAGGTTCTTTAAAGGGAGGTGAAGGAGAAAAGCTAGATACACATACCAGACTTCAGTACAATAAAGTATTTACAAACATTTAAATGGATCACCAGGTCTCAATTTTAACCTGATAATAGGAAATAGCCAAATTATATGGTTGGTTCTTGCTTACATTTTAGAAATGTGATTTAAAAAAACTTGCCTAGTTAGAAATAGAACCATATGGATATCTTGAACTGGCATCAACCCAAAAAAGCAACTTTATCACTACTATAATTTGAATCTTGAATGTTCCCCAAAGGTCCATGTATTTAAGTCTCAGTCACTAGCCTGTGCTGTTATTGGGAGCTGGTGGGACCTTTAGGGTGTGGGGCTTGATGGAAGAGTTAGGTCATTAGAGGTGTGCCTTTGAAGGGGATACTGTGATCCTTGTATGCGTGTGTGTGTGTGCGCGCACTCTCTCTCTTGAGCATGCTCTCTCTTGCTTCACGTGCGCGAGCTCTCTCTCTCTCTCTCATATGTATATGTATTCTTTTCTGAAAGGTATTAGGAAAATCATGCACCTAGAGAATTTCTAGCACTAGTAGGTTCTTACTAAGTATATACTGAATAAATGGAACTAATTACATTAAGTGAAATATACTGGGGACAAAGTCCCAGGCCTCATGAAATATAAAGCATAGTTGAAGAGCTCTTACCTAACCAGACAGTCTTTTATACAGTAATAGAATAAATAACTCATTATCATTTCTTTAGAAGTGTCATTTTTAAAGAAATGTGTAGTATTTTTATTCGCCTTTAATAATGTATAATTACTGGGATTTTTTTTTTTCTTTTTGGTACCAAGGATTGAGCCGCATCACCAACCCTATTTTGTATTTTATTTAGAGACAGGGCTTCACTGAATTGCTTAATGCCTCGTCAATGCAGGCTGGCTTTGAACACAAGGTCCTCCTGTCTCAGCCTCCCAAACTGCAGGGATTATAGGTATGCAACACTTTGTCTGGCTGCATATTCATTTTATTGCAATTTTCAGTTATGTACTGGTTTAATGTAAATATATGTATCATAAAATTTCAGTACTAGAATGAAAAAAAAATTGTCTTTACAATAAAGCAGGCTGGCACATGCCTTTGTATGCATTGAGCACTCAGGTAATGGAGACAAACCTACACCAAAACCCAAACTCTATTCACTAACTGGCTATAACACTTTGAAATTCTGGAATAGATGTAAAAGACCTAAAAATAAAAATCTAGCTAATCAGGGATCAGTACGATTTGACTGAACTAATTCCCATTTGACATTTGTTCTTCTCTGAAATCCATCAATAAATCATTCTTACCTGGGACAAGGAAAAAAAAACTATCTAATTTTCAGTTTTTTCATATATTCAATACCAGCCCTATTTATCTCAGAGGGTCATTTCTAAGATCAAAGGAAGTATGTCAAAACACGTTGTGACATGTATTGGAAAGATCATTATTTTCTCAAATTTAAGGTAAGTCAAACTGACAGATTAAAGATAAGAATTAGATGAAAATTCTTGAATTTAAAATCTGGATTCCAACCCTTAGTAGCCTAGAACCAAATACTGAAGTAAAATGGGGATAATGACACCTACTTTATAGTGTTGTAAGCATTAGAGATGATGTATTTAAAGTGCTTAATTCCATGCCTGGTACACTACACTAACCACTCAATATTTATTATTATAATGGAAAACCAGAAATTTCTCTTGAGATTTGGCTACATATTAGTTCTATACATCCATCATAGATAACAAAGACTACCACAGAACACAAGTTTTCCTCTTAAAAGAATTCTTTTAATTTTTTTAAGTTTCAGTTTCTAAGGAAGAAATACATTTATTATATTAGACATAGTTATAAACAACTAAAAATGTGTTCAGTTAATAAATGCATGAAACAGATTCTGGCATATAAAGAATATCAGGAAAACCTTTTAGTTATGCTTTTGCTAAACCAATATGTTATGATTTAACATTTAGGAATATGAAATATTGCTTCTTAGTAAAACAACTTATAATCTACAAAAAACAGTCAAAGTATCGTTGTGTTAAGTAATTTAACATGGAAATTAATCTTTTGACAGGCACAAGAATGCTGTGTCTAATGATTTCTGCATGTATTAGTGATATTAACATTCCTTTTATATGCTAGGCAAAGCATATATATTGCCAAATTTATAGTGAATCACTAGCAACTGATAAAACAGGACTTAAAATAAAATTTTCAACTATTAAGCAAGATTTAGATGAGGAAAACTCATAAAAGGATTTTGTTTGTTCATATATAGAACCTTTGAGCTTTGCTTTTATTATCTGTTTTTTAAAGTACTCTTTCCCTCAAAGAAAGCTCAGATTTTGAATGTAAAACTTGAAATTTAGAAAGAATTCAATGGGACTGGGGATATATATAGTTTAGGAGTAGAATGGGTTTGTAGTATGTGCACAGCCCCCTGGGTTCAATTCTCATTACAGGAAAAGGAAAAGAAAAGGGGAAAGGAAAGGAAGACAATTGAATAATATGACATGAAATTTTAATATTCCTGCTTTTATCCAGTTGCTTCTCAGATTTCAAATTAATATGTAAAAGTAGTGACAGATGACTCAATGCCCAAACAACTGAATTAAACAACACTTACTGGCGCCAGGATATTGATCCCCAAGTCCTTTTTAACTATATTTCTTTAAGAATATATCTTCCCACTACTTCTCTTTGAAGTACCAAAGAAGTACCTACTTACTTTACTTTTCTTAGCAAAAGGACTCAAAGCTGCACAAGCAAGGGAATTGCCATCACTATTAGCCAAAATCCATTATTTCACAAGCATGCAAGTTCCCTGTCACTTCACAGTTAATTTATGCCTAACCACATCTTAATCTTTTGATTTACTGCATTTCCTCTATCCAGGAAATATTTTCACCTTTGGGTTTCTGTGGTCACCAGTCATTTTGCTTTCCTTCTTTCAGTTTCCATTACCTATTCAAAACAACGCAACTCAAATAATGTTCATCATTTAGCTGACAATCTCTGTACTACACTGAAGTAGAGCACATCAGTCAATGCCATTTGATATACTTCTGACCTCCAATACATTTAATCTTTTCTTTATGTCTTAAAAATGAGATCAAAATGAAAATCACAATGAGGGCAAATGATAAATGGAAAAATTGTTACTAAGATATTTCATAATAGTGATGGACAGGAAAAATATGGTGAAAATGTGCTATTTTGACATAGAGTATCAACTATAATATATTGTAATCTATAGTCCAGACAAATAGATTACCACCAGAAATATTAAACTTTTTAGTTTTACAAAGGAAATATTTTATTAATACTTTTAAAATTAATCACTATCTAAATAAATATACTTACTTACATTTTTGAACAGTTGCTCAGCAAGTTCTCTGACATGCTTTATAATCTTCAATGGGTTATTTTCTTCTAGTTTAATTCTCTCTACTTCAAAAGCTACCAACTTGGAAAAAGAATCAAATGGTAGAACATCAACTCCAAAATATGCTGAATTAAAAATGTATGTGCTAATTTTATACAATTTGCAAAACAAAAAACATCCAAAACATATATTATTTTTAAAACAAAATATTGCAGATTTTTACTGGGTTTCACCACTAGGCTGGATTATAAAGGTCTACTGAATTCATGGATTGCCTGGTGATCCCTCCTCAATGATTTAGGGCCCTATTTCTTCTTGAGAAAAGTAATTTCTGAAACTGAGAGATCCTATCATTCCAAAGGCTGTTTGCAAGAGAATTCTCTTACTCAGAGAAATTCAGGAAGTCATAAAGTCTCCAAATATTTCCAACTCACAATAAAAGAACCAATGGTTATGTCAAGGTATTCAGACTCTAGTCCTCCCTCTGCTGACAGTTTGATCTAAGACAAATCATTTAAAACTTCTAGGCTTCAATTTCCTCATCTCTAAATTAAAATAGAAGAACATGATGATAGTCCATTTCCCTATTAACAAAATTTACTTGGAGAACTGTGTAAGTGTAACACATACTTAGAGTGGAGAAAAGAATGCTGATGGAAAAAAACAGATGGAAGATAAAAAAGAAAAGGAACAATATAGATTCTTTCTTCTAGAAACTAATAGACTCACAGGTGCATACACACATATAAAACTACAGCTTTACCTATACTAGGCCAGAATTCAGAAAGACTGTTAATCAAAGGCAAACTTTTTCATAAATCTTGGATGCCTATTTGATAGGAGTATAGGGGTAAGACACAGAAACAAAAAGCTGACTAACACTAATGCAGTTTAGTAGTTCCTACAGTCAATGAGTTTTGGAAATTGTGAAGGAGGTGTTGAGATAAGGGCTGAAAATGAAGAACAGGAGGTCATGGCTGAGTAAAAAGTAGAGGCCAGAGGAGGACCTACAAAAATAGAGGCAGTGATAAGCAAGTTTTCTTCGAGTAATCAATATGCCTTTTTAGTTGTGATAAATCAAATGGAATAAGTAAGGAAAATTTGGACAGAAGAGAAAAAGAGTACATATACCAATGTTACCATTAATAAAGCTTCAGAGACTTAACAAAATTTAAGAACTAGAAAGGACCTTGGAGGACATTTAATTTAACTTCATTAGACATTATGTGTCAGTTGTTTAGTTCAGAATCTAAAGGCTGATATAAATGTTTGTATAGGCAATGGTCAATCATAATACATGTTAGCAGTAAAGAAGCAATACCCAATAATTGATTATAAAGAATTGGGGCTAGAGTTGTAGCTCAGTGGTAGAGCACTTGCCTAGCACATGTGTGGCACTGGGTTAAACCTTCAGCATCTCATAAAAATAATTAAATAAATAAATAAATAAATAAAGGTATTATGTCTTTTTACAACTAAAAAGAAAAGAAGGAAGAAAGAAAGAATTACCCACACCAGGAAAATCTCTCCTAAATCTTTGCATGTTTTTATTAATGAAAGCATTTGGTACAGGTCTTCATATTCAGAACTGAAACATTCATTTCTTTGATTCTTACCTTAACTATCTTTACAAAGACTAAAGGACTCTTCTCCTACGAATGAAGAATCTTTAAGTCTTTGATTCCTATATTCTCTACATAAAACTACCAGGAGCAAAATATGACCACTACTATATTCTCTATGGTTTTAAGTTCAGGTTGCTTTCTTTTACAGACTTCAAGGAACTTTTAGATTTATTGGTTCCAATATAGTGCTCTTTCCAGAAACTGAAGTGGGAATAATACTCATTGTTTATAAAACAGCATCTTTATTGTGAGTCACACTGGCTCTATTTCTCCTTTCATATGGCTAATTCCTTGAAAATAGAAACGAAATATGTTTTTCCCATATTTAATATCTTCAGAGGGAGCTAGACAAATGTTGATTGTTGGTTAATAAGAATGCCATAATGATAAACTATGGCTCCGTGGTACTGATTAAATGTAAATATAGTTTGCATCTATGCATCCATTAGACCTTTCTCTCTAGCAGACTGGTAGAGGAATCACTGTATTATTTCCTACAAGTAAGAGTTCTACTAATACCACCCCTGTCAAATTTTCAAAAAGATTTTAATCAACTATTGAAAATTCAGTTGTTCAAAATTTTTATGTACTTCTGAAACATTCTATACTTACATTTTTCTAACCACAAATGAAGATTATAAGCATAATAATAAATAATATTTGGATTATATTATGTTTAATTGATAACATGTTGAACAAAGGTTAAAAATGCTTCTCTAGTTTTAACTACTATACTAATTCCGTCTATAAATTATGTATTCATTTTATAAGAATTATACCTCATCAAAGAGATCACAGGATCTAAAGGGTGGGCCTCTTTCTGAAACAAAACCTGCAAATGCCATTCCATTAAGTACTTTAGTGAGGAAATCATTCTCAACCAAACCACGCTGCCCCAAGAAAGCTGTCTGTAAAGAAAGAAAATGAGAAATGATAATTTATTACTTGGTAATGAAAAAATGGTCAAAATAAAATTAAAATGTAATGACCAAAGTCTGTATAAATGCCTTCATGAATAACTATGCATTGTTATAAAATATATTTCTTTCAAAAAGGGTTTTTGCCTAATACTTGAAATAAAAAAATAAATCTGTCTATATAACAGGAGGAAAAATCAGAAACTAACAATCAACTTAAAAAAATTTAAAGTTAACATGCTCTAAAGCAAAATATTGTCAGTAACTTAGTATTATTAAAAACTGTCAGGGCTAGTGGCTGATGCTGTGGCTTAGCGATAGTGTACTTGCCTAGCATGTGCGAGGCACTGGGTTCAATTCTCAGCACCACATATAAATAAATAAAATAAAGATCTATCAACAACTAAAAAAAAAAAAAAAATTGGCTGGGGCTATAGCTCAGTGGCAGAGTGCTTGTGTAGCATGTGTGAGGCACTGGGTTCAATCCTTAGCACCACATAAAGATAAATACAATAAAGGCATGCTGTGCATATACAACTACAAAACAACAACAACAACAAAATTGTCATCTAAGCACTCAAAGCAGAGGTTTTTTAGTCACATTTGATAAATTAAAGTAAAAAAATATGGCTGGAAAAAAAATGAACTAGATTTAAAAATTTAAATCAGAGTCTGCTTTTTGAAGGATGTAATTTGGTACTGTATCTTACTTTGTGAAAATGTATTACAGGCTCCGCATGAATTCTTATAAGTTGTAGGCATGATCTATATCCTTGGAAAAGTTGTGCAAATAGTCTAAGGAAAACTGCTCGTACTTCTTTATCCTGAAAATATAAGAAATACATTAGGTAATTTAATTTCTTTTAAAAAAAACTTGTCAAAAAGATGAAAAAGAAATCTGGAAAGACTAAATCTGTCTGTGTTTCCCATCTTTGGGTAGTTTAGGCTGTTAAATAGTTCTTCATACTAAATCAAACCAAACTTGCCTTAGTATGTCCAATTTTCCTCTAGAGAAAAAAAAATAATGCATTATTCTCTTGTACCATGTTAAAGGAGGGCATATCTCCCAAGTCCTTTGACTTCTATGCCCACCAAAAGAATGCATATAAAAGGGGGAAAAAACCTCAAGAGACTAAATTTTAAAAGCTTATGAAATCCTTCCAAAATTTATCTAACTTATAAAAATCTATTCTTATTTTAATAAAATATGATTTAAAAATCTGCTTTGATGATCTACATTTTAATAGAACCATGGTTTCAAAACTGTAAGAAAAGTTATAGATTTATTTAATTGATAAGGAAATGGAGGTCATGAATGTAGTTGTCAAAGTTGTCTAGTTCTATGAGGCTCCTATTAGGCCATGAATTTTAACTCTAAGAAACTTACTGGAAAAAAATAAAAAGGGGCCTCTGTTATTACTCTCCACTTTATGACTTTGAATTAGAACTCTCTTATTCACTCACTCTTTAATTTATTCTCTCTGATGATAACATTCACTGTTTTCACTTTTGTAAGCTTCCTCCTCTTAAAAATACTTGCCCTGACCCTTTCAATCTGGCAGTTTTCCAAGCTAGAAACCAGGTTCCAATTTTTGTCCTATACTTAACTGGTCTCCTCCAGCAACATTCATAGCCCTTTTCCTACAGGGCCATTAGCACCTTCTAAAGTAGAACACAAGGACAGTTGGTAGTGTTTTGTCTATTTTCTAATTTAGGTATTTTGGGGGTACTTTTTACATCTAACTCTAACTTCACTCAGTTTCTTTAACAATTCTACAAACAGAAATATAGGTCTCTTGAAAAAATACCAAATTTAAATATTCAATTTCTTACCAGCATTTTTGAGTGAGATAAAGCTGTTCGTGGAGGAGGAAAAGCATGATCTGCTACTTCCAAATCTGGGTGTAAAATCTAAAACAAAAAAGCTTTGTTATAAAAAATATCTTAAAGTCAATAAGATTATCCTTAATCTCCTTATGGCATTAAAATGAAATGTTAATACAGAAAATATGTTATATTCCCTCCATGAAATACAAAACTATAATTCAGTTAGCTGAGGTAGCTCATTTTTTTAGTTGTAGATGGACACAATACCTTTATTTATTTATCTTTATGTGGTGCTGAGGATAGAACCTAGTGCCTCACACATGCAAGCAAGCACTCTCCCACTGAGCCATAATCCCAGCCCTCTCATGTACTTTTGTGGAAAGATCTCCAAGAGAAAACAGGGGCAAACCCATTCTAAAAAAAAATCCTCATAATACGATCTTATAAAATAAAATGAACCCTAGATGTACACAGACATGTACATGCTGATATACAAAAAAAAACGAGAATGGAAAGTTCTCAAAGAATATACACCAAACTATAAAATATTAGTAACTACTGGGAAGAGAATAATCTGGGGCAGAGCTTTGTATAAATGTAGACGGGTTTTAGAAAACAGGTATTTGTTTTTATGTTTCATAGTAAAATTAAAAACTAAATTAACTAAAGTACTGAGGAGAAAGTTTAAACTTTGTAGTCCAGAATGGGAAAGTATAATACAATGTGATGAATCTCATTAAGTATATAAATATTATAACATATGAAATATAAAGTATAACTAATTCAACCCGGGGAAAGTTAAAAAGAATAAGAGGATTAACGTATGAGTTAGGCTTTGAAGTAAAGCACTTTGGAGAGGAGGAGGCAAAGAAGGGTCCATGAAGGACTTGCACAGAGAAAAAGAAATTATACTTTATCAGTGTACAACAATGTTTTGTCTTTGCAGAATCATTTTCAAATACTAAGGTTTTCTTTCATGGAATAGTTAGATCAAGACTTGAAACTACCCTTAAAATCAACTACTGACAATAATTATAAACAAATAACTCAGTCACTACTACATTATGATAATGTTTTGTTATCTATTAAAATCATCCATGGTTATTATACTGTTGAAGTTCTGCATTGACATTTGATTACAATTATTTACTAACCAAATGAAGCTCATATACTTACATGTTGAAGTTCCCATATGGTCCATCAAAAATGATATCTTTTTGGTCCTAATTTGACAGTATACTATGTTCTTATCTCTTATTCATAGTATATAGTGCTATACACTGTGGTACATAATTCATCATTGTGCTTGATGACTATAACAGCAGGTATACTCAGTTTTACCAAAAATGATTTTAAACATTAATCAAATTTGGTGGCAATTTTGTTGTAGGGTAAAGTATACCAGTAAGTAGCAAAATTTCTATGAAGTCACTGTCTCAAAACTAAAATTCTTATTATTGTTAATTTTGATATTTAATCCCTGAAAAAATCATTAGCATCACTTTCAAATGTTCACAAAAATGATTTAATCATTAAAAATTTTCTAGAAATAATAAACTTTCCTCAATCACTCAAATACTACTTTTTCAGGTTTTATTATATTAATATGCCATCTGTGCATTTATATGGTTAATATTTTCATTTAAATCAACTCACCTTTTAAAACCTAGATTTTCTTAGATGACATTATCTGTGAAATCACAGGTTTTGTATGATATTTTAAATATACATTATAATAAACTATAATTATTATAATTTTAAAAGGTTGACTATATCCCATCCAAAATCATCTCCTGGTTTCACTTTGGGAAATAGACATGTACTTATCTCTGGGTAAGCCATTCATCCTATAGAAAAAGACCATGAAATAGGTCTAGAAATGAGATGCAATTTATTCAATAATATCAAATTGCAAATTTTCTGAAAATAAATTCCCTCCTGGTAAACACCTGACTTCTAAGTTTCTATTTAAGGAAAACAGCAGATTGGAATATTATTAAGAATATGAAGGCCTTAGTTCTACTAACATCTTGAAAAGGAATGCAGAATTTCTTTCTTTTTTTTCTTTTTTTTGTATTGGGGATTGAACTCATGGGCACTTAACCACTGAGCCACAACTTCAGACTTTGTTTATATTTTATTTAGGGACTGGGTCTTGCTGAGTTTCTTTGGGCTTCACTAAGTTGCTCAGGTTGGCTTTGAATTTATGATCCTCATGCCTCAGCCTCAGAGCTGCTGGGATAACAGGCATGAGCCGCTGGCAGAATTTCTAACTTTTGATTTACTGATCATGGATAAATAATCACCGAAAGGACTGTCAATAGAATAAAATAGTGTATTTTTAAAAATCAACTTAAGTAAAATAATGTAACTATAAGAAAATTAAGTTTGTTTCAGTGTGAAAAGCCCTGGCCATAAGATTCATTTAGAACTTGACTGCACAGTATATTGAATATTTAATGTTTCAAAAGTCTTATCTTTTCTTATCTTTCTCTTCTAAACTAAAAACATTGTCAAGGCAACATTACCCTGTTTTGCAGGTAGCACATCTACCACAGAGGAATGAGATGCCAGAACAGACATTAGGAAACAGAAATTAACTTGTAATGGGGGATGTTAGGGGAATCAGGAGTTTTGAGGTAGTCTTATCGTTGTGTTCACATGGGTATTTCCAATATCTAACACAGTATATGGTATATAATAGCTACTGAATAAATATGCTGGGTGAAGAAATGAACATAAAATATTCAATTAGGATTCAAAGTATAGTCCTTAGATAATTACCTGGTAAATGAAGAATTCTATTCCAAAAACTGGAAGGGAATACATTCATGCTTCAAAAACATAACTCTCCTTAAATTACACTGACAATGAATTTTAATTCCAATTGTTTCATATTTAGATGAGGAAAAATTTACTATTAAAAAATATCATACCAATGAAAGAGCTGCTTGAGTCTGATGTAGAAGTGGCTCTGGGAGGGAAGAGAGATGAATACATTCAGGAATTTTGATAGTGCCACCATCCAAATCCGCTATGATTACATCTAACTGAAAGAGATGAAAAAATATTAACCCATAATTAATAAAGTATATTTGTTGTTAAGCAAATTAACTTGGCCTTGATTAATTCAAAATGAGAAGAATTGACTATGGAAGGGATGCCTGGCTGTCTACAGTAAGTTCTGGATCCATGGCTTCTCAGCTACCCTCTGTTTCTCAGCTTCCTTTGAAATTAGGTGTTGCTTATAGCTAAATTTCTGCCTATGGAACATGAGAAATGACACATGTACCCCCCAGGCCTCAAAACGAGGTATTTAAGGCTCTCTTACGCCCTGTCCTCTATCCATAGGCTGAAACTATGAACTGGCAGCAATCTAGCCTCAAGTATTCAGATTCTGACAATGCCTGAGAGGATTCTGGTAGAGAAACAAGGAAAGAAGCTTGGGTTTTAAATGACTTAAAAGAGCAAACTGGCCTGGCATAATGGAACATGTCTATGGACTGCTGTATAAATGTTAAATAAAATTTTATTTTGTCCAAGCCATTGCATTTTGATGCTTTATTGTAGTAGGTTAGATATATCCTAAATAAGTTAATTAATATTTATTATAAGAGTTAACCAACATAATATGGTACATAAAAAGTATATTAAGGGCTAGGGATGTGGCTCAAGCGGTAACACGCTCGCCTGGCATGCTCGGGGTGCTGGGTTCGATCCTCAGCACCACATAAAAATAAAGATGTCGTGTCCACCGAAAACTGAAAAATAAATACTAAAAAATTCTCTCTCTTTTTAAAAAAAGTATATCATTAAAAAAATAATAATAATTAATAAATAAATAAATAAAAATTCTCTCTCTCTCCTTTCTCACTCTCTTTAAAAATAAATAAATAAATAAATAAAAGTATATCAAAAGGGTAACATTTAGGTGCTTATGCAAAAACCTAATTTTTAACCATTTTATAAGTGAAAAACACTTAAAGATATGGGAAACTAACCAAAATTATTGAAGTTGTCTCACTGATAATGTGATTGTAATTTATTCTAATTTGTTCATTAAAAATTTAAGATCTTACATTTGGTAACATTTGCTTTGTCCTATATCCAGTGACTACTTATATTTAGTAGTAATAAAATTATCTATAAACTATATGGATATCTTTCTATTTAGTTGTGATTAGGTTTTACTGATTTATTTATCTTTTTATATGGTGATACTAAAGTTAAATAGGAACTAGATATCACAACATACAAGGTTAGGAAGAATAATTCCTATATGAATGAGGGTCTTGTTTATAATGCTGAATAATCTTCTATTTATTTAAATCATATCTCTAATTTGATTATAATTACAATTTAATTACTGTGTAAATTTCAACATAGCTCATTTACTTGCTAGCATTTGAAAATAAAACACAAGTAGAATAACAAAGTCTTAAAGATTTGTGAATCACAAATATAATCTAAACTTGTTAGTAAATATTTTCTTCTTTCTTTAAAAACTGTCATATAAACCCTCCTTACATTCCACTTAGAATTTGAAAGTATACTCTTTTTTTTTTTATTGATTGTTCCAAACATTACAGAGCTCTTGATAAATCATCTTTCATACATTTGACTCCATTGGGTTTTGAATTCCCATTTCTACCCCAAATACAGATAGCAGAATCACATCTGTTACATACTCACATTTTTACCTAATGGCATATTAGTGACTGTTGTAATCTGCTACCTTTCCTATCCCCTACTATCCCCCCTCCCCTCCCCTCCCACCTTCCCTCTCTGCCTCCTCTGCTGTTGTACTCTTCATCTCACATAAGGAAACTCATTCCATTACTGCACAACTTTATCAGAAATGCTTAAACTGAAGTGGCTTAACAAATGCTTATATAGAAATGGCTTATATTTAAGTGACCTATGACAGTTACTTAAATGTTTATTTTTAGCTATTGAATAGTATCAGATTATCTTAAACATTTCCTTATGTTAGCATACAATATAGTTTTCTAAACTCTTGACAATCCTGGATATCCTCTTCTGAAGTTCTTTATCTTGTTAGTCCCTCTTAAAGTTCAATATCCAGAACTAAATACATTGTTCTAGAACTGCTTTTTCCCTCTTTGGTATTTCTATTCATATGGAATTAAGAATACAAAAATTTGATGTGGGTTCATGCAAAACTTGGTTCCTCTTAAACTAAACTTTTCTGTGAATACTTTTACTTCGTTAGTTATCAGCCATTCAGTGTTATATGTCTCACTTTAAATATGAATAAATTAAGCTCTAATAAGTATAAATAAAATATTAATTAATAAATTAATTATCTTCTTTTCTCATGCATAAAAACACAAATAATATATTCAGAGTGGTATTTAAATATATTTACGAATTCCTTTGTAAACTCTCCTATATACGCAATAAGGCAAAATTAATATATTTTGACTCTTCAGTGATGTTCTTCTAGTCACTGTTGATAATGCAACAGATCTGCAAACAGTAATTACCTAAAATGTTACAGGACTAAAAGAAATATAAAAGGCTTCTGAAATCAATAACTAGAAATTTTAACAATGAATAGATGAATACTTACAAGTTCATGGATATCAGTTTTAAAGACAGAATGTACTCCAATAATGAAAGGTGTTGGGGAACTCAGAACTTCCAGTAGTTGAGCTGGGAGAATGGGAATATAAGGATAACTGGAAATAATAAAAATATGTGTCACACATTTGTTTTTCCACAACATAAACACATTTTCTTTCACTTTTTATGTTGCATGAATTTTAGATGAACTATATTTAGTAATTACCAATGGTGTCATGCTTCTTAAAATTGTAAAAGAAACAATTTTTAAAAAATCTTTAAGATATTATTAAACATAACAGGACACAAAGTAAATGGAACCAAGGCAAATTTCCTTATCCCTTCATCCTCTTAATTAAGTAGTCTCTTTAGGTCTTTTAGTATTTTTTGAAAAGAAAAAGAAACTTGACAATCCAGAATAACACTGATGGAACCTCTTCTCTCAAGACTAAGTAATAATTTGTCTATGTAATCTACTCATTCAAATTTCACTTTCAATACTTAATGTTTGCATTCAGTAAGAATGGCATGCTCTCTCTCTTTTACATACACATACATACACACACACACACACACACACACACACCAAGAACATTCTATTTTATCTATAAGGTAAATAAAAGTACATAGATAAAAAATTTTTAAAGAAATTCTGGAGATAGTCTTAAAATTTTATCCAGTTTTGTATAAACTTAAGTTTCCTAGATGTTATGATAATTGAAGTGATGAAATCAGTATATTAGGGTTCTACATAGAGCACTACTTGGCATCACTGCCTATATATATTTTTCTTTTTATTATGGGAACTTCAAACATACTCCTGAAAAATACAGAGACAGGAAAAAATTTATAATGAAGCTCCATGTATCCAATCAAGTTTGGCCATTACCAATGCACAATCATATATATTTCTACATACTTTTGTTCTCTTCCTTACTATATTATTTTGAAGAAAACCCCAGATATTTACATCTAAATACTTGAGTAGGTATCTAAATAAGGACTTTTTGGGGGGTATTGGGGACTAAGCCCAGGAGTGCTTTATCACTGAGCTCAATTCCCAGCCTTTTAGTTTTTGAGACAGGGTCTTGCTAATAAGTTGCCCAGAGTAGCCTTAATGGGTGATCTTCCTGCTTCAGTCTCCCAAGTAGCTTGTGGCTAAATTTCTGCCAAATGTACCCAGCAAGACAAGGAGTCTTTATTAATAGAACAATAGTACCATTATAACTTCTAAAAATTAACAACAATCCTTCAATATTAAACAACCCTGACTAAAGACTTTTATCACAAACTGCATTCAAGAGAATTAAATGTTAGTAACAATACCATTCAAATTAAAAATTGGTTTTTTCCCCCCACTAAGTTATCCAATACTCAGTAAGGGATAACATGGAAAAGCCCAAATTCTAGGCTACATTTTATTAAAATCATGACTCTTGGTATGGTAAAACTATAAAATATGACTGGGCAATTAAAAATCATTGTATCATGACATTTTGACTTGTCAATAAGTAATGCATAATTTGGGAATAAATAAAATTACCAAGCAAAAACCTCACCTATATTTAAGAGGAAACATTAATGATTCCAGGGCTCTACAGGCATCACTAAGTCTCTGGAAACTTGCAGAATGGAAGAGAACCTTATTTTCTGTAAGGACTGCACAAAAGAGGCTGAGGACATTTTGAATTCCTGAAAATACAAGAGCAAAGGCTTACCAAATGCATTTAATTATATTTGTGTTGCCAACAATCTTACACTTGAAATAACATAGAGAGAAAAAGTCAATATTTGTGGGCTATCTGAAGGAAAATATTTGGTTAAACTATAAATTCTACATAAACTATGAGTGTTTGTTTTCTCAGACTTTTAGTTTTGTCTTTATTCTTCAAATCAGTGTAACAACACTCACTGAACATATTAATTGTTTGGAAATACACAATTATTTTCTTTCCAAATTCATCTCCAAGGTTGTACTAAAGTTCATGTGTTAGATGTTGGCATTATTCTAATGTTTTCCCCTTTCAAGTCTACTTGTCTAATATTAATACAGTCTTGTGTTTCATAATGATTTTTTGGTCATTTATGGACTGAATATTCAATAATAGTCCCCTAAGATTATAACAGATGTTATAAATTCCTATTACCTAGTGACACTGTAACTGTCCTAACACTGTAACACAATACATCACTCACATATTTGTGATCATGCTGGCAAAAACAAATCTTCCATGCTGCCAGTCATATTAAAAGTATAGCATTCAATTAGGAACAGTATATAAAACTTGATAATAAAAATAAATGACTATAAGAGGCTCACGTATTTATTATACCATATATTTTATTAGTGTATACTCTACTAATTAAAAAAATAGTAAGCCATGTTACGCTTGCAGCAGCCTCATACATCCTGTATTTACTGTGTTTTTTGCTTTTATCATTTTCTCTTGTGCTTGATTTAATCTCTGTTGTTTATTTATTATGGCCCTAGGTATAATAAACTATTGTTTCTTTCCTCCTTCCTGTCCCTCTCTCCCTAGTTTTGTGCAGGTATATATACTTAATGATATTCAAACAATAATGAAACTGCCTAACAAAGCACTCCTCAGACTGCATACCTGTCATTAAGTGACACCACAATTATATAACTGCATCAGGTTTATTGCTTTTGCAATTTGCCTGGTATATTTTTTTCCACCTTTTATTTCAATTTTTCTTCTAATTTTTGTAAATGGCTTTTTTTCCCCCCAGTGCTAGGGAATAAACCCAGGGCTTCACATTTGCTAGGCAAGCACTCTACCACTAAGTTACACCCCTAGCCTCTGATATATTTTTAAATCCAGTCTAATAAACTTTGTCTCTTAATTAGATCATCTAATTGATTTACTAATTACAGTATTGATATACACACTATATAAAGATAGCTATACACACAATAGTTTATTTCATGCTATTTATTTGTTATGCCTCTTTTTATTTCTATTGACTTTTTTGTACTCCCTCTACTAGTGTGGAATTTTATAAGCACTCTTAATTAAATTTTACTCTTATAATTTCTAAAAGTGGCGACTCTAGAAAATACACCATGCATAATTACCAAGATGAAGTTAAATTAAGTACACCATTTCTTACTTTTTCTTTTTATTACTGACGCAAATCGTGTTTTGTATATCACTTTAACCTTAATAACACAGTTCCATTAAATCAAGGAGTCTCTTTCCTTTTCTCAAGGTGCACTATTTCCTGTATTTCTCTTTGCCATAGCTTACTCCTTCATGTAACATGTGCAAATTTCTTCTTGGTCCACCATTAACTGCTATTCCCTTTACTCAATTCTAACTTATTCCATGGAATATGTGAAAACCTTTAGTTCAAATTTTTTTAAAAAATTGTTCTAATTAGTTATACATGACAGTAGAATGCATTTTGACACATTATACACAAATGGAGTACAACTTTTCATTCCTCTGGCTGTACATGGTGCAAGGTCACACTGGTCGTGTAATCATACATTTATACAGGATAATAATGTTTGCCTCATTTGACTGTTCTTCCCACCCCAACAACCCCTCCCCTCTTCTCCCCCTCTGCCCAAACCAAAGTTCCTTCAATCTTTCCTACCCACTCCCACATTATGGAGTAGCATCCGCTTATCAGAGAAAACATTCGGCCTTTGGTTTTGGAGGTTTGGCTTATTTTGTTAGCATGATATTCTCCAGATCCATCCATTTACCTGAAATGCCTTAATTTCATTCTTCTTTAAGACTGAGTAATATTCCACTATGTATATATCACATTTTCTTTATCCATTCACCTGTTGAAGGGCATCTAGGCTGGTTCCATGGTTTAGCTACTGTGAATTGAGCTGCTATAAATATGGATGTGGCTGCATCACTGTAGATGCTGATTTTAAATTGGAATAACTGGGTCAAATAGTGGCCCCATTCCAAGTTTTCTGAGGACTCTCCATACTGCTTTCCAGAGTGGCTGCACCAATGTGAAATCCCACCAGCAATGTCTGAGGGAACATTTTTCCTTCCCTCTTCGCCAACACTTAATATTGCTGGTATTCTTGATAACTGCCATCTGACTAGAGTGAGATGAAATCTTAATTTTAATATTCTCTAATCCAGACTAATGTAAAAGTTTCATAACTAGTTTTCCTAATCCAGTCTTTATTTCCTTCAACTCCATACAGTGTCTAGAATAATAGAAGTAAAATACAAATCTGATTATGAAACTTTTACTTCTCAAACCTTTGATATCTTTCTATTCTTTTGGGCAGTGGTTTTCAAATGTATTCTATTCCACACAAGCAACTTAGCAAATGAAGCTTTGCTTTCAACTTGTTTTATGTATTAATCTCACTGAACCTCAGAAAGTAAAATGAAAAGAAAAAAACCCCTCAAATACCTATCTCATAAGGTTGCTATGCATAAGAAATGAGGTAATGCATAAGTTCTCAGCATAGTACCTTGATAAATTATCAATGCATATTAGCTGAAAATGTATGCAATAACACATAAGTATGCAACATGTAAGTTATGACATTATTATTGTAATTGTTGTGGTTCTTGCCATTAAGGTTCTGATGCTAAAAATGTCTGAAAACACATACAAAATTAAGTCTGCACTCTATACCAAAATCATCTCATCCTTCCAGCCTCAGTATTATGTGATCAATATGAAACTTATCTAGCTCTCGGAACTCTTCTTTCACCTTCTATTTCTGCTTTCTTTGCTCATGTTCTGTTTGTCTGATGCTCTCTTTGTTAAAATTTGAGTTACTCAAAGACTACACTGGGCCTTACATACTGCTGAACCCTTCTGCCTAACACATAACTACTACAAAGCTGGCACTCAAGTCTGTTTCACTAAACTGAAAAGCATCTGAATAGTGCAGTGAGTCACTATCAAAAGACTTTAAAGCTTTCACAAAAAGGTATCAAATTTTGCATATAAGTGGGATCATGAAGTATTGGTCTTTCTGTTCCAGGCTTATTTTACTTAAAATAGTGTCTTCCAGGTTCATCTATAACAACAAATGATAGTATTTCCTCCTTTTGGGGAGGAGGGAGGAGGGAAATGGGGAGATGGTGATCAAAGAATAGAAAGTTTTAGTTAGATGAGAAAAATAAGATTCTGAGATCTATTGTACAGCAGAGTGACTATAGTCAATAAAAATGCATATCTTAAAAAAACCTGAGAGTAAATTTCAAAGGTTTCAGAACGAGGATAGAATTTTAAAGGCCTCAAGAGAACAATGTCTGGTCACATTTAAGGGCAAGGCAATGAGAATTATTTTGAATTTCTCAGCACACTTTAAAATTCAGGAGGGTTTGGAATGATGTCATCCAAGATTGCTGTATCAACAAAGCTATTCTTCAGAATTGAAGCAAAAATAAGAACCTTCCAAGATAAGTACAAAGTAAAAGAATTCAGGACTACTAAGCCAGCACTACAGAAAATACTTAAATAAAACCACAAGACTTTTGGTGTTCCTATGTAGCAGTGAAAATGAGTAAATGATCACAGCATACATTATCATGGATAATTTCCTCAAATGTAATTGTTAGTGAGGAAAGTAAGGTGCATAATGATTACATAGTATTATGTAATGTAAAAACCATGCAAAACTCTACTGTATATGGCTTAAATATATATAAACATGGAAAGTATAAAAATATGTCTGGGACTAACAAACATCAAACTCAGCATGGTCTTTATCTCTGAAAAGAACAGAAATACACAGTATATTTTCTATGTATTAAGGTACATTAGGAATAAAAAGATTTAAAAAAAATATGTCTTTGGAAACAATTTAAAACTTATAGAAAAGTATTAAGTCTGAGTACTACACAGATCAAGCATCCATATAGAATGTATTGTGTTTAACCTATTATTAAAATTTTGTTCCATTTGATTCAACATTTGTAACCACATGCTAGAGGACATTTCATCTAAGGCATTTGTGTTTAAGTTGCATACATCATGACATTTGCTCCTAGACACTTCAGTGTATATTCCTAAGAATAAAGACATTTTCTTTTACAACCAGAGTAGAGTTATTGCCTTTAGAAAATTTAACAACCATAAACAATATTTTAAATGTGATCTCCTATTTATACTCCAACTTTGTCAACTGACCCAATTTTTTTATGATTAAAAACTGAAAATTAGTCTGTATTTTATTGCCTAAGACACTAGGCACTAGCTTTTATGGATTTGAGATATTATACATAAAAATATATTTATAATATAATCCAATATGCATACATACATCCATACATGTACATGTGTATATGTATGTGTACACACTAATGTAAATATGTAAATGAATATAAACATAATCAGTAACAAACTTTCCTGAAAAATGATTACTCTTATTATGATAAACCAAGATATCTTCTGTTGTGGATTACCACAATTCATTAAAATATCCTTTGTGAGACCCCACTAAGTTAATGGCCCATTAAAGTCTTAAATTTGAAAAACATGTGACCCAATTTTTTTTGTGTGTGGTACTAGGGATTGGACTCAGAGGTGCTTTACCACTGAGCTATATCCCCAACCCTTTTAGATTGAGACAGGGCTTTGCTAAATTGCTAAGGTTGGCTTTAAACTTGCAATCTTCTGCCTCAGGATTCCAGGTCTCCAGGATTATAGGAATGCACTACCATGACCAAACCAAT